CATGCAGGCCTAAGATACTCTCTGTACTCATTTCAGTACTCTCTTTGTAGTATTTCTGTTTCTAAGCACACTTATGGTGAAAACTGAATTGCAGTCTTAGAACATAGATGTTCATTGCTGGGCGGTTCCTACTTTCAGAGGAATAGAAAGCATCATTAGCTACCTCTGATCTAATTAAGTTTCATCCAGGTACTTTAAATCAGATTAAAAAAATTTGTTAGACTAAAGTATTTCTCTTCCCAGAACTCAGACTGCTCCACGCTGGGGAAACATCTCAGTACTCCTGAAGAGAGTTTGTTGCCGAGATGCCCTGACGATCCTGGCTCACAGAGCAGAATCTCTGTCCATTGCCACCAAGATTCTTGCATTCTCAGAGGAAAACACTTTCCTCACCCTAAAGATTTTTCCTTAAATGTCTTAGTAAAACATTTGTCCTGCGAAAAGAAAATGAATTTAATTTCTAAATCTCCAAGCAACACCAAGGCTACATATGGAAAATTATGACAGTGTTTAATTATCATCATAGGTAGGAATCTGAATTCAATTGAATTTGTTAAACCTCAGCTTTCAGGTACTATTCCTTCTTATGCTTTTACCAGCATAAAGACAGAGAACACCCTGTTGTTATCCTCTCCATGTGTAAGGACATAAAGGCAGTAAAAGCCTTCAACAACATGATGAAAACATCCTTTTTCTTTTTTTCATCTCAAAGGCATGCCTGGCTTCTGCAGCTTATAAAGAAAGCATTGTAGGGATCCAGCATCAGAATTCTGTTTTACTTTTCTAAATACATGTTTAAAAATGCAGCTCCCATTCCATCAATGCCCATTTTAATTTATAGGTCAATACATTTATTTTTTAAACTGAGGTGTCGTTCCATAAGAGATCTTAAGGAGTTACTACACCCAGGAAATGCCAAGCAGCTAGTGTGCAGTAAATGTGATTCCTTATGAGGTTCACTGTGACAAATGCAATAGCAGTTCCCAAATACATGGGATTAGTATTTGACTGTGCTAGAAATAGCGTAATGGAGTAGGTGACCCGTTAGCTTGTCCAGAGACATCAGGGAGCACAGTTTGGTTTGTGATGGTTGGAGAGCCTTAAAAAGAAAGTAACCAAGGGTTAGGTGACAGACTGGGCATTGACTGCATGGTCTCAGGCATTTGGCCATTACTGCACGCGCATTACAAGACTCAGTAAGAGGCTTCTGCATGGAGCAGCCCTGCTGTGGCTAAGCTGGAGCTACACATGCAAGCCTTCTATGCTGTCTGGAATAATTGCAGATGGGAGGGAGAACTACATGCTAAGAATTATTTCCAGCTCATAATTACATATTATGAGGATTTTCACATTGGAGATATGTGGCAAATATATTTTTACTAAGTTGCAGTTATACAAAGTTCCAAAGCATAAGTCTGAGCTATCCTATCATTTCTAGGTAGCTGAGAAATTCAGTGTGCCAACTGCTGTTATCACAAGCAAAATCTGACCCATTCACTCAATGCTAAGATGAAATACATTCATATGGGAGGCTATTTTTAATGTCAAATCCTTAGCTGTTCCTTGAGTTAATTTGCTTATATGATTTTGTATATGTGAAAGTGCTTCGGCTGCTTAACCTTCTCTTTTCCCATCTATGTTTTTTAAGAGCCATACTTCAAAGTGTGAGAGGATTTTTTTAAAATTCAATTCGATATGTGATTCATTCCAAGTCAGAGGCAGACAAGTTCTAAGGCTAACCCCACTTAAATTAAAGGAGAAATCTGGCTGATTTCAGTGGACTCTGGATTAGGCATTTTGTTAGGGCAAATCTGGGGCTAAGCTACAGACCGCTATTGCTTTGTAAAACAAGCAACTTTGTTATTAATGAAAGCATTTATAATTCTTTCCAGCATTTGTTAGACTCCTGGAAAGCCCTTGTGCATTGCTTAAAACTAAAAATACACAGGAACTGTCTTTACAGGTATCGTTGCTTTGGATGAGGGACTATTATGGGCCCAGTCATTGTTTACTGGCCCACTGTAGTAAATTGCCTGTTGATATCTGAATTTAATCGCCTTGCAGATCTTTGGTTCTGATGCCTGCTCAGTAAAACAATATTGATGTGGTCTTAGATTGGCAAAGACAACATCTTCATAAAGTCATAGATGTTTTCTGCACATAACGTGCATGATGTCTCAAACTCCCTTAGAAATATGAACAAGAAGGAACATATATTCCATTTTAAATATAATTGTTACAAATACTGCAAATCTGGAACAAGTGCACTGACATCCATGACTCTTCTCAAATTACATCAGGGCAATTAATATCAAAAAGCACATCTATGGACAATTACTGATACATTTTTCCTGAGATATTAAGATAAAATTCAGCAGACAACCACACTCTCACGGACTAAGACTGAGGCAACAGCTGCATTCCACTGAAGTCACCCCAAAGAAGTTGGCTTTCATTTCCTAACGAACTGAAAACAAGATTCTTCTGCATCTTCTGATCCATCATATAAAGCTGAATGAGGTGGGGAAGCTCTGTAAGATGACCGTTTTTTGTTAAATTCTGATGGGTAATAAATCACATTGATAGAGAACAACGGACTTCAGCCCTTTTTAGTTTTATATGGCATTTCCATGATCTGTTCAGACACAAAATGCCTTTTGCCTTAAGAAAATTTTACAGGCCACATGAGGATCCACATTAGCTATAAGCGTAACTGATCCACTTTTAAGTACAGTGCTTTTAAGAGTATCCCCAAAATGCCTGCTGTCTCAGACTGTGGCACAGCACCCTAGAGAGCTGCTAGAATGCCAGCGTCCTTCCAAGAAAGGCGTCCTCAAGCCATGGTGACAGGTTGTTGGGTTTTGTCACTAATTACTGCTGAAGACAAATTTTAACTTAAACACTTTGATGGCAGTGATGAGACTTACAAAGGTGGTTTTGTGTTCATGACAACGGTAGTAAATGGGAAAGCAGAAAAACATTGACTTCATTTGGTTGAAACCTTCCATGTAGTAACAATAAAAGAATCCTGAATTGCTTCAATAATGTGAGCAATCTGTACTCCAGTTTTAGTCCTACGTATAGTCATCAGGATCACGACGATGATCAAAGAATCACTAGTGCTCTCTCTGTGCCCCCTGCATGATCTGTTTTTAGTAGTGCTGTGTGGAAGAATATCTTAAATAGACAGATGGGTTAAAAAGAGGGAGTCTCATTTCTAATTACAATAGTGTAATGCTTTTTGAAGCACATAGCAGCAACATAACTATGTTTTAATATCTAATGCTATGCACCCTATATTCTAATGTACTGTGTCTGGAAGCCTATGCCAAGAAAATACAGAATTGTCAGCCAAAAACTGTATAGTGTCATTCAGAATAAGAATCCATGCTATAAACTTATTTAAATATAATCATTACATTTTTTTCACTGTTTTTCTTCGTTAGCTTAATAAATTACCTACCTCTCTGCATTTACTCCACAGTGCTTGCTTAATAGAGGATAGACAAGCTTATTTTTGTCAGTCAGAGAAAAACTTCATTTTCTCTATGCTGTGATACATAAAATTCAACATAGCCTCTTTAGAGAATGGAAAAATAGCAATTTCTGGGAGTCGAGAATGGACACACGGAGGTCAGCAAATAACCATCAGAGTTTTAAAATGCATTCAAAATGCAGATCTCTGACATCAGTAAAAAAAAGAAGAAAACAACACATCACCTAAATTACCTCACAGCTATTTGCATAAAGGGTTCAGAGGCAGTACAGTATAAGTACGGAGACACAAGCCATCCAAAGAGAACTTAGCAACAGCTCTATTGGGTACTCTGTGTGTCTGTAGCAGGAAAAGGGCAACTCTGAAGCTCAGATGTGCAAACAGCTTTAAAGGACTAAATCTCTTGGCAGATGCATCAAGCAAAAATCTGAAGCTACAAAGCAGGTAATTTACCAAATAATTTCCTTTTTAGCAGATTCTAACTTTCCTTCTAAAGGTTGCTCTGAGCCAAATAGCCTATGTGATATTCTTAGGGCTGTTATCCAAGGACTTAATCAGAAGGGATAGAAACCTGCCAATACGAAAGGTAATAAACTCGTTCTCTATTTTAAAAATTTGTAGAACTTTGTAAAATTGTGCATTTCTTTTATGTTCTGAAGATATAATTAAGCTAAATGACTGCTATATTAGGATTAAAGATGTATTCCATTCTACTGAAGGAACTCTGCTTAACTGGGAAATAAATCCATTATAAGTGCGTTAGGAATTCCAGGGCTAGCTAGAAGAAGTAGAAAAACACTTGTTATCTGGGCAAGAGGCAATAGAGGATACGATTATCATTAAGTCTCCGAAAAAAATATGAAGTGCTTCCCCAACACAAGAAATCTCCCTGACCAATGGAGCATAGCTACCTTATTATATTGACAAATGCACAGACACATGGCTACTGTAAATGTATAGAAATAGATATTAAAAAACTAATGGACTATTAATGTTGGGCTTTAACTAAAGGTGGAATGAAAGTGCTGCAAATCCCAGTATTATTTTAAAATGAACCCTTAGCAAAGGGAATTACCTGGTGGAGATTATTAGTGCAGGTATATGTGTGTGTACCTCACGTTGGGCAATAGTTAACACAGAACTCAAGAGGGAAATTATTCTTGCCTCTTGGCAGAAGGCAAAGCAAGATCACTGGCTTTCAGAACTATCTGTGCATCAGGAAGTTAGGTGTTTAAAATGTTCATATTTATTCTGCCAGAAAAATGAACAAATGCCTGGTTTTAATTATGAAGAATTTACAGATTCCTTGAAAAATATAAAATAAACTGAGAGGTTAGTAACAGAAATGAGGAAGGACCCTCACAAGAGACTTTGATCCCTACAGCAGTGCCATATTTCTTTTTCGGTGTCTGGAAATATTGTTATTATTGCTAGGTTTGTTTGCTCCATCCTCCTCCCCTGTTGTTCTCTCTCCCATGGAAGTTGCAGGAACCCTGGTCCCACAATGCCATCTATCCAGTTGCCACTGCTACTCCTCTGCCTGACCTTGTCTGCTCTTTGCCTCAACGGGGGGCAGCCCCTTCCAGAGGGAAGTGAGAACATGGGCAGAAGTCCCCTGGATGACGTCCTGAAGAGATCTGAAAGCCTCATTCTTCAGCCTGTCCTCCAGAAAGCCGAAAAGGAAGAAGAGATGAATAAAGGTATATATAACACTGGGGACATCCAGCTGGTGATGGTGGCACAGTACTTGGCTGAGATCATTAGATCCCATGTGTAGTTCCCAGGTTCCAATGTATATATTTATTGCCCTAACTAAGGAGAGGGGAAGGACAGGAGATTTGCTGTAATACACTGACACAGAGTTCTCAAAAGGCACTTTCTTCTCTAAGATCTCCCTGCTTAGGCAATGCTGTACCATCTCTAAGCAGCTGCTGCGTAATAAGAAGGTAGAAGCCTATCACAAAAAACTTGTCTGTCTGGCAGGTACTTCCCTAGGGAAGCTCTAAGAGGACACATGGAGGACAGTCCCCTGTTGTGGACCCTGTACCTATGGGTACACCAGGAGGTGGGAGTGCTGCCATTCACCTAATACCTCAACCCACTGGTTTCTACACCCCAACAGCAGTGGGCTTTTCTGTGGCTGGGAACGCAGAGGCTGCTCAAGAGTCCGCTGCCTCCTAGCTTGCAGATGCCCTGCTCTCACGAGTCACAGCAGTGGAAGCAAATCAGATTCAGGGATTGCAAGACGCAGCAGATAGCTGCCTGCCACCAACAAGGAGCACAGAGCCCTTTCAGAATGGAAAAAGGAGCTAGCCCCAAGTGCCCATAGAAAAAGCCTTCCTCCCTCTTCACATGAATGCTGAGAATTGGTCATGTCGATCCAAGACCTGAGATATTAAAAAAAGCTTAAAGATGAGTAAGAGATACTAATAGAGTCATGATTGCTAGCTGGAAATACTGTGCTGGCTTTCAAGTGTCCACATCCCTGCTTCTACTTGTGTCTTTCCCCATCTCATGCTGATTTCCAGCTCTTCCCCATACCCAGCTTCTGCAGCTGATTTCTTCCAGCTGCTCAGCATCTGTTACTCACCTCCCTTTACCTGAATCTGACACATTTACCTGAATCAACGCAGTAGGCTTTGTCATGGCATGTCTTCCTGTTTGGCTGCAGCTAGTTCCCCAGGTATCAATCCAGACTTGCTAAAAACGTGCCAGAACTGTTTTGACAGATGCCATCCAGAGTGATCAAATTCAAGACCATACAGTTAACTGTGCAATTAAATGGACATAAGGAGCAACAGACTATGATCCTGCACCACAGAACTCCACAAATTCCCATTTCAACTTCCTTAGTGAGGATTATGGGGACTCATTAACATTATTCTTTTCCTTGGACAGAATCAAATGCCCCTCTGCCAGAATGGCTTTCCAAAAGACAACACCCTGGGAAAAAGTACCTAAGTGACCTGGAGAAGAGACAGCATCCTGGAAAAAGAAATACTGAGGAAGACACATCTTACGGTGATGTTCAGAAGAGGCAGCATCCAGGGAAAAGAGAGATAGAAGACGACCTTGACGGCTATCTGGAGCTGAAAAAGCAACAGTATCCTGGCAGAAGGCCATTGTTGGATCGGTATGCTGAGATCCCTAGTGCACAGCTAGCCTACTTGAATGAGTTATCCAAAAGACAGCATCCAGGCAGAAGGTATCTGATGTACAAGCGCCAGCACCCTAGCAAAAGAGGCTGGAATGGTGAGGTAGACCTAAATGACCAATATGGTGAGAAACGCCAGCATCCTGGAAAAAGGCACTGGAATTCTAACAGCCCAGATGGTGCAGGCCCCTGCAACTTTCAGGAGTCCTTCACCTGTAACAAAGGCAGCTTGTTGCTTGATTTAGTAGAAACCGTTAGCAAAGACAGGGTAGAAGAAAAACGTCAGCACCCAGGAAAGAGATCAGCATGGGAGAGTGAAACAGAGGAATGAGAAAATAATTGTCTGTCATTTGCATTTGGTGAAGTGAACTGCCAGATCACTGAAAAATTCTGTTCACTCCCTCTTGGCTTCCTGCTGCTGACCTCTGCACCTACCTTCCATTGCGTTCATGTTCCCATTTATGTTAATGGCTTTGTCACACACTTAACATAAAGGAACTAAAGGACTCAGTTGAATGGGACAGGAAAGTACTGAGAGTCTTCAACTCCCCCACTTTAGGAAGTTGAGTGCTCATTTTCTTATGGGCCCAGACCCCGGGATAATCCCACTGTGTGTGTCTAATTTTCTGTTCCCGAATTTCTAGAACAGGCTCTTAAATATCTGTTCTGATGCTACTAAAGTAGAATAATGATATGGTTTCCTCTCATGTCAGTGAAACCAGTAAATTAATAGAGAGGGAGAAAAAAGAACAACTTATGCCAGTTATTTCAAAATTAACTTGAGTAGGTTTTCAACATTAAATGACACATTAATGAGACCTGAACCCTTGCACACTACAATCTGTCCAGACAGTAAGCACTGAACAGCGATAGGAAGTGTTCCAAATGGAACAGATTAGATGACTGACTGCATAGTTTGACTTGGAACTGGCACATAAAAACCCTTTCAACTAAGAGGCTGCACAGCACAGGGTTAATGCATCCCAGAGCTTCTCAGCTGAAAGTTGTGAACCTGACTGCGTACACCGTGTACTAGAATTCCTACCCTGGTGTGTCCACATTTTAGCCGTGCCACTTGAAATCATGCCTTCTCCTCAGACATTTAAAAATTAAACAAGCAGACATCCTTTCCTTCCAATAAGGATTTCTGATTTCTCTCCTCTCAAAGGAATGCTTTTACTTGCCATGGTCGAACTCCCGAAAGTGTTTATGATATGAATGACTCAATAAACATTAATAGTCAACTCTGGGTGTCCTTATTGGTTGTGCAAACATACTGTAATAGAATGAAAAACGTAAAACCAACCCAAGCTAAATAAAAATAAATAACTAACATCAGAGGGTATTTTTCTAGGCACAATCTTCTTGCATGCTGGTGGTCTGCACATGTTTATACGTAAAACTGTTTTGCTACTGAAGTGGAAAGATGATTTGCATATAGATAGATTCCCTTTTTAAATCTGCTACCTGTATGACCACAAAACTATGCGTCTGGGCTAAACCCACAGCAAACTTGCCACCTAGTTCACAGGGAACTTTACTACAAGTCTGATTTCCTGTTCACAGGTCTAAACAATAGATACACTGATTTTTGCAATTAATGCAGTTATTGAGTGTATTAAGTTATTCATATTCTTGTACATTCAAAGATGTTAGAGCATGTCAGTATTTCACTAGAGTGGTTTTTTTTTTACAAACAAATAACTATGTTTTCCACTGATAGTCATCCTTCTCAGTAACATCAGGACACATTAAGTGCCCTAAGTGTTCCTTTTAAATATGATTGTTTCCCCACTCAGCGCCTCAGAGCACTTCCTCTGTTATAGAAGTTAGTTTTGCCATATGGTTTAGTTGCCCTGAAGAACAATTAATCATCTCAGTGAGTTTCACTGAAGTTAGACGTTCCCAGGTTGATCAACACTTAACGTGGTCTATCAAACAATTTCTAACTTTGTCGATAATACACTGTTTAATATATGTGACAACAGGCAGACCTCTTCTGTTGACAGGGCTTTTCTAATTAACAAGCGCTGAAGGAATCCTCAGAGGAGGTAGCTGGGAACATTCCATACACTTCTAATTCCTTCAGCACACTTTCTGTATATGATGCCTTTTAAAATGTTCAGTTTTCATTCTATAAGGGGAAAAAAGATTTCTCTAAAGAATACCATTTCATATCCTATTTCCAGCAATGAATAAATGCTTCTTAAGCCTCCGGGAACACTACTACACGAGACCACCACCACTTGCCATAAAATGTCCAAAATAAGTGAAAAACAAGAAAGAAAAAATTGCCAAGTGGGTAAAGATGGGCAACAGCAAAAATGCATCACAATTCCTGCAAGGCAAGGATGCTGCTGTGGCTGCTACAGGAAAGCCAAGGTGGGGAAGGGAGAGACGCATGAAACTGCAAGGTCAAAGTGCTTAACGTGCAGCTACAAACAGGTGGTTGGGGCTATTAGGTTACTACCTATAAAATCTACCATTCTGAGTAAATCTCAGATGCACTTCATTATCAATAAATTAATCACTTATTAAAAAGGAATGAGTGTGCTGTCTTCTTAGTGTGGTCAGTGAAAAGCTAGCACAACTGATTTTAGGTAAGTCTATTTTTTTCAATCTTCTGTATTTTAGATTCTAAGGGCTCCAGTATTTTCAGAGATGCCAAGGTCTGCTGGGGCTAGTCATCTGATTAAAAGCAAGGCTATCACTACTATAATTGTTTAAGGAACTATTTCTTGTGGTTTTGAGTTGTTTTATTGGGGGGTTTGTGTGTTTTTTGTTTTTGTTTTTTTTTTTTAAAAAAAGTCAAGCCTGAGCTGATAGTGCTTTACAGTAAATCAGATTTATCATGTTTTTATTATCACGCCTGCAGTTTTTAAAATTTGCCTCAGTTTGGAGCTGCTGAAAATGTACTTGCCTGGCTGGGAAAGGCACAATGTAGACAGATACTGGGAGAGCTCTGACCCATTTAAATTACTTGGGGGGGGAAAAAAAAAACAAACCAAAGAGCTTTGTTACTCCAGCAAAAGGTCTCTGGCAAACGATAGAAACACTCTCAGGGACTCCTAGACAGGGGAGGTACCACATGTGAAAGATCTCCTTCCAAGCTGTGTAGGCCGGTAGCGAGCTTAAAGGACAAGACACAGATTTCCATTCAGAGAAGCAAGTGTATGGGTCCTGATGCTGAAAACAGTGTAATTTGGAGACTGAAACACGAGCCAGAAGTCTTCTGTGAATGACCTGGGTTTGAAAATCCTAGAAACTCAGAGAGGATGACCCTGGAAGCATAACTGAGCACAGGACAACTTGCTGCATCGTATTTCCCATGTATTTAACAGTCAAAAGAGCCAGCAAATCTGCTACTGAGGTACCATAAAAATGCCACTGTTATTGCCAAGTAGCCAGAAAAATGACAGCCCTGACAGAAATCCCAAGAGGATGAAGTAGGATGCTCTTAACCTTCCACAGGTACTTGTCTAATTATAGCTAGCCATAGTTCTCTTTAATCCTGGGATTCCTGCACCTATGTGATTATTTTGATTATGCTAAACATGGCTCACAGAACGACACTATCTCTGAAAAGACTTGGAGATAGAGCTACAAGTGCAACCTAGGAAAGGATAAAATTAATGACAAAACTCACATTTTGCAGGTAGGTCAGTACTTGCACCTGGTGGGGATCTGATAACCTTACTTAATCCCAGGCATTTTTTGAAACATAAGACAATTTACAAAAAGGGAACAAAAATCCTGGGGTTTTCCATTTTATATTAAATTTTCCCTTTAGACTTTCCAAGGCCAGTATTTACTTCCAATGAGAAAATAACTCAGTCAGTCTATAACTTCCATAAAGGACTGCCACTCAAGAGAAGGAAAGAGAGCGTTTTCATTGGGGAAAAAGATGACGTATTTTAAGAGTTCTTTTTCAAGTAACTCAAAACAGTATTTCAATCTTGCCAACAAAATCTGTCCAGATTTTTGTTTTGACTGAAAGCACATTTTTCTCTCTGTATCTGCATGAAAATTTCACCTCTATCAGTTCATGTCTTCCTGTCTCCTGCAGTGTTGCAGGCATACCACCATTCAAGTACTTTCCTTCTCATTCATCATTCTCAGAGGACCACCTGCCATTTGTGATCTGATGGTTTTGTGACTATGAAACACACATAACAACAAGTTCTGAAGTTAAGTATCTGTTAGATTTTTTTTCTACACATAAAAATATTTTTGGCTCTGGACTAACCAGAAAAGAACCAGCTTTTATACTATAATGCCCTGCTTCTTTGAATAGTAAATATAGTGCAATTCTTAGCAACTACACAGATATATACTACTTAGTTGTAAGGTAAGAATTTGCTAATTGCACCTCTCTCATAATCTTATTTTTATTGTATACCTTCCCTTCACTGTCATCTTTTATCAGAATTTAAAATCAAGCAAATATCTACACGTTATTAGCTTTGCTCAGTCACACACATAAATATACATGTTGGTAATTGCAGAACAGGCCGTTTAACTTGCAAAGTTCCTTGATGAAGTGCCCTGTCTGTCTGTAGGAGGCTCTGTGGCTCTTCAGGAATGATAACAAATCAATAGCAGACTTGGGTCAAAGGTCATGGAAATTAGTGGAAAAATCTCCCTTGTTCTCTGCCAAATCTGGATAAGGTCCCCAGAGCAAAGCTGTGTGCTGGCCTTAACGTGGCAGCGGAGTCATGCAAAAATCTCATTTCCAGCTTTAATTGAGACTCAAAACAACTGTGCACAGATGAGTTTTGTTTACTCTACTGCAGTTTTACATTTTTGGCATGTTACCAGTTATTGAGACACAAGGGAGTTTGATTCCTAAAGAGCAACTTTTACAAGTGTCTTCAAAATGAGTTTTGTTTTCAATGGGAAGGGAAAGTTGATGTGAACAAGCTGTGTAATTAACATTTCCTGCAACTATTTTCAACTCCTCTCACCATTACTGTTCTGTCCCCCCTCCCACATACTTATCAGCCTTGACCTCTTTGCTAATCCACTGTAATTAGCATGGGCTGAGTGTTTCCGAGGGATATGCAGCCCCAACAAACCCCTTTATTACTACTTTTAATGACTCATTAGTTGGAGAAAGTTTTAATATCATAACTGAAGTAGAGTCACTGCTGGCCTGGTAACTCATTCTGTTAACATTAAATGGCCAGGCTGCAATTTTAAAGCATTGGTCAGGAAATTGCTATGAATAAGAACTATGATCAAAAGCAGTCAAGTGGAGAAGCGCTGCAGAAGGGATGAGTGTGGGCAAGGTCTAGGCTGTATGGAGACATGACATACGATATGCAGACAGGG